TCCAATATTTTTTTCTCTCTCCTCAAATTACAATTTCTTGAGTTGTATAATAATAATAATAATAAAAAATAATAATCAGGCAATAGTATAAAGAATAAAGTCAGTAGTATCAATCCGGGCAGCCCCATTAGACCCAAAACGCCCCGCCGCCGCCTTCGCCGCCGCGTCACCGCCGCCAACTTGATTTTGCTGGTGGTGGGCTCCGTCGTCGTGAGCCGCCGGAGGGTGGTAATACATCCGGGCAGTCTGCGGACAGTGAGAGTGAAATCTGCAAGCAATTCTCACACCCAAGTCCAAAAGCTCCGTATATTTCCCCATCTCTCTCTAACTTCGGCCCTTTGTTTCTCTCTCTAAAAAATTGTAAAAACCTGCAACAGATTTATTAAGAGGAGAAAAGGGAAGAACAAAGAGAAAGGAAAAAGGAAATAAAAATCAAATCTTGGAGAAAGGGTTTGAATTAGAAAACGTCCCAAGTCATTAAATGGGAGGAGAGAGAGAGAGAGAGTTAGAGAGAGAGAGAATGAATGAAGAATTGGTGGTGGAAGGGTTGGTTTATATACTAGGTTTTTTTGCTTGTGGGCTTTCGATGCCCTTTCCTTTCACATGGGAGAATTTGCATTCGCGCCCCTGTATTTTATATTATTTCGTATTATCACCCTATATTTTTGTGGGGTAGTTAACTAATTATTTTAAATGCAATAATTTTTTTTTTCCATATAGTATTTTGCAAGGAAATGGTAACCACTATATGTCTGTAGAGTTATAATTACGTCTAAATGTGTTGGAAAAATGATATTTTAGGAAAAAAATATTTGAAAAATAAAGTGATATGAATTTTTTGGTGAATTAATTTTTTGTTGCGTCAGTCAAATCACGTTTGAATGATAGAAAAACTTGAAATTGTTATGAATAATGTTTTTGAAAAATATTTACGAAATTAGATTCATGTTTGGAAGGATGAGTGGGAAAGAATATGTTGAATAACAATATGAAATCTCGACATGATTTATTATATATAATTAATGTGTTTGACCTTTTAATTTATTTCTAAGGAAATAATATGGGAATGTGTTACAACTTTTAAATTAAATAATTCTAGTAATTTCTAAAATAAGTTTATATTAATATCATTGTTTGGTTGGAGAAATTAGTTATTATTAAGTAATTAATTATTCTTTGTTCGACTCGACCTGTAAGTATTATATTATTACGATTTATCTTGTTTTTTCAAGATTTTTTTTTTATGAAAGTGAGGTGTACAAGGAGTTCGATAGGATAACTATATTTTTATCAGACTATTTAATCTTATTGTAGCAACCAACGAGTTTGAAATTTGGCTTAGTATAAAATTGAGGTAAATTGCAATAAAATGTTGGAATCATTTTTGCACCACATGACTCGAACAATTATATCGAGAAGATGGAATATTCTTTGTTATGTGGTAAAAAAGTATAATAAAAAATAATTGAAGGCATATTCTAGGAATACATCATAATATAAGAGCTCTCCTAAAATATCAAGAAACTTTCCTTTGTTGGTGGGAGAATTTATTTTATTCAATGAATGCGTACCAAAAGCCGCGTCAATTTTCCGCAATATTCCAAGCGGTGTATTATTATTTGCCTAATGTTGGAGAACGTTATTGACTTTCAATTTTGCCCCTACACTTTAACAAAACTGCAAATTTGACTTTTTTTTTTTTAAAAGAAATAATAAATGTCATTTATTAGTCTCATATTCACCTTTTTCTCTATAAGATTTTCCTATATTTCTTTTAAGATTTAAACGTTACGATCAAATTATTGACTAGTGGTTGAAATTGAACCGAAATAAGCACTTTCAATTTGATATTTTAAAACTATATGAATATGAATTAAAAACATTGTATATTATCAAGAAAATGGTAAGTCATGCATAATTGTAATTCTAAAATTACAAACAATATAGATTTTTTTTTCAAAATAATAATTAACTTGAAACATGTGGACGATCTCAATATTTCAAACATTTTATTATTATAGTCTTTTTGTTAATCTAACAAACATGTATAATAGATTTGTTTAAAAAAAATATAATTAGTGTTCATGTGTCATGATAATTTATATATTATTTTTATTTATGAAATTTTTATAAAATTATTAATATTTATAAAATAAAAACCTCATTGTTTTTAAATTAATGTCACTAC